GAAGAACCATTAATGATAATATAATTATACAATTTGATAGTTGGGTTTTCAACTATGTGGTCCTAGTTTGTTGAGCATGCCCAAGTGTAGATTCTGTCGGGTCTCAACATTTCATTATAAACTATAATAAATAAGCAACTAGTGGACATGGCAAGTTGATAGATATAATTCGATATACATATTCTTTATCCTAACCTGAACCTAATCTCCACATGACAATTACTATTCACTAACTCATCATCCCAAAGATTGCGGTGCCAAGTGAGTTAGTGGCAAGCCTAGTATGCTAGGCCAGGTTTAAGTCACAGACCCACGATTTTTTTAATTAGTTTTAGTCATGAAAAGCCACTTACTTGGCTAAAATTTTATTTTCTTTTTCCTTTTTTGCTAAACTCGTGAATTATTTCAGATGATCCTTAAATTTAATTTCGTAAAGAGGAAATTAGTTACAAACATTACATCAAAATAATGTTTGTAAGCGAAGCGTGAATTGAAATAGCGTTTAAGGATTGAAAACCTTGTTAATACATGAAATATTAGAAGACAGAACCAACATGAAGCCAAGTTGCAAGCGACAAAGATAAGCAGATAGATTCGAGCCTCCTTAAGCAATACAAAAACCTACGGTCCGTACAGCGGATGCTCCAAAATTTGGTATATAGACGTAGATAATGGTTTTCTTTTCCTATAAGTTTGATAGAATAAAGGAATTTAAGAGAAAAGAAATGTGCGAATGGAATCCCCAAAAAGTTGCATAGTTTTTATCTTGTACAGCTAAGCCAAGCTGCAAGCACGCATGGTTCTTTAGATTAGATTATTTCTGACTTTGGCACTTTGCTTTGGAATATAAAACCCAGATTCAGTTATGGCCTAGATGATAAAAGAATGAAATTCTAAATTCTGAATTCTAAATTATAAATTATAAATTCTAAAATTCTAAAATTCTAATTCCATTCTACCATTTTACAGCTCAAACATGGGTATGCTTGATGTTTTTTCTCAACGCTTTTTGAGGGGCAAATTGCCAATAACAAAGACACGTGTATGCCATTTGATGAAGATACTAACTTGTAAGTTATTAAATTTTAGAGTGACACCGACGCCTAAAAAAATCCAACCGGGAAAAGGAAAAGTGCACCGTCTTCAATTCCTCAAATATATTCTATCCTCGTCGATTTAAAATATCATTGACAACAAAATCAAGCTACAATAATATCATAAATATTCGTATATAAAAATTTTTAGATAAAATGATGATTTAAACAAATATGAGTAGAAAAGTTGGTAGGGGCGTGGTGGCATTATTTTGGTATGATAAGAGGGAACTCTCTTTTATTTGTTGGGACCCACAGCATCATGAAACGAATCAGTGGTAAATGGGCCATGGGCGGCTCTTAGGTCATCTTCACTCTCTCCCTTTATTCTGGGCCACTCCCAGACCCACTTTCTCTCTCTTCCTTCTTCTTTGTTTTCTTCAGACCCAATTTTTCTTTATTAGATAACAGATATCACAGTGCTTGTGCCTCCACGTATGGAATATCATGTGAGATGGCATCCTTCGTGGCAAACACATTGAATGGAATACATAGATATTTTTGTCACACCCTTCATTCATGTTACCATCCCATTATCATCATCATTCGTGAATGTTTGATTAGCATTAGTGTGTGTTTAGTAAAGTTGGTACTAAATTAACAAAATATTGAAATTCTAATTAAAAGTTAAAAATATTAAAATTCTAAAATTGAAAGCTAATAAGTTAGTTTATTGGATAAAATTAATTTATTAATATTTGATGACATAGAACGTATTTTATTATTTAACCTTACCCGAAATTATTTAACTTATATTTATTTTAAAAATAAATGTTACCTTTTTATTTTTAATGATTTCTTTTATAAATTGCTGGTATTTGATAATTTTATTGAATCCTGCTCATGAACATAAAAATATGTTGCTTTTAAAAGCAATGGAAGTTATAACAATTTTTTCTTACTTTTTTTGTGTTTTGTTTGTCATGTGTTTTTCTTACCATATCAATAACAAAAAAAAAATCAAATTTAATTAAGTAAACTTATATTTTATGCCAATTTAACATATTTATTTCTCAATTTTGAATTAAATTTTAAATATAATGACAATAATTACATTTTTATAATTTTATTTTTTATTAATTAATAAAGACAAATTATGTTATTAAAAAATTTAAATAAACTGTGATATAATTAAAATAATTAGTTCAATATTAAAACAATTATCGAAAAAAAATTATTTTACAATAATAAATAATGTATCAAGGGTTTGTGAAAACAAAAATGGGATAAAAAAGGAAAAAAATAGCAAGACTAAAATTGTAGAGAAAAAAGTCATGAGTTTATGAGCTCATACAATACTTCAGGTAGCATTCCAAAAAAATAAGAATAAAATAATAAAACAACAAGAATATTTACTAGTTTAAAAAAGATAATCGTTTGCATTACTGAACTAACGAGTTAGAACATATCAATGCAGATAACTAAAAGCAACTTCTCTAATAACACAGATGTAAGTGTTAACTAATGTCCTAAAAATATTAATTAAAAATTATATTAATTAATACTTTATCCGTTTATTAAATTTTAATATATAATATATTATTTAACAAATTAAAAAATAAAATTTATTAAATTATATGTCTATAAATATTTAAATTGTATAACATTTTACTCATATGATATAATAATATTATAAGAACTAATAATTTAATTAATAATTTTTTAAATTTTTTTATTTTATTAAATTTGACATTTAGTATTTTATATATATATATATATACCATTTTAAATTTTATATTAATAATATATAAAAATTAAATTCTTATAAAAGGTATTTAAATTTAATTGACTAATAATTTTTAATCTCTTCTAAAAATAAATCTTAATAAATTTACTTTATTTAATAACTTATTATAGACATTAAATTTTGTTAATTTAACTAAAAATTGAATGTTATCACTAAATACATTAAAATTATAAAATTTATACAATCTAAATAATAATTAATAATTTATTAGTTAATTTTATTTCAATAAACATTATATTCTTTAAAATATAAATAAATATTAATTATACAATAATATATTTGTTAATATTGAAATTATCTAAATTTTATATGTATAATTATTAAGATAATACGACGTAACTGAATGATTGTATGGCAAGACTGCTAATTTCTAGCTAATAAAACAGAAAGAGTATTAGACTCACGAGAGTGGAAAAATTATTGTAATAATTTTTTTCAACATTTTTAATTTACGATACTTCATTTTATAATAGAATAACCCAAGTTATAAGTTATAGATATAATACTCACCTAAAATCCAATTCTATTGATATTTAATCCAACATATTATTTATCTAAGTATGCCTAAAAATTAAGATTAAGTCCCCGAAAATTTTAAATAGTAATAATTAAATAACTTATTTGGTAGTAGAATTCCCAAATAGTTAGCTTAATGTGATGGGAAAACAAAATCATGTACTTTTTCCTTTATCTTCATTTACTTGTTCTTCTTTAAATAGATAGTCTTTTATGTTTCTTAGTCAAATTTGGAATAATTTTTGTTTGAGATGAACTAGTTTTTTCGATAAAAGAATTTGTACTAGATAAAACACATCAACTTTTTAATTAACTTTAGTGATGTTTGTCTGGTTTCAAAACCGTGCACTTCTCTAATGACAAGAACAAATAAAATAAAGGCTTCAACATGTTTGCACATTATTAGTATTTTAAGTTGGTCGTCTAGAAACGAAACAGCATAATTCCCATGTTGTATATATGATGGTGAATTTTATTTTTTTTTCGTTTACTTAATTTTCTAATCTTTTTAGTTCTTAATTTTTTGGTTTATTAGTTCATTTTAAACTTTCTACTGTTTTTCATCTATAAATTAAATATTCTATTAATAATTAAATTAAATAGTATAAGTAATATACTAATTAAAAAGTATATGATATTAAAAAACAATCCAGTAATTGTAAAACTAGTATAATAATAAGGATAAAAGCAAAAAAATAAAATAAAAAATCATTCAATTCAGTAAAGTGTAAGTTTATTAAATTAGCAAAAGATCCTTTCTATTGTTAAACACGTGTCTTTCTTTGAGGAGTTGAGATATAATCCGTACGTGAAATTGTTCCTTTGAAAAATTTTGAAAACCGTGACACCAAATAATGATTTATGTGGAGATATGGAATGAGGTATAAACTGAGCAAGATCTGGGGTAAGATTGTTGGCTTCTGAACATCACTCAAGGGTGGATATCCTAAATAAGTTGTGTGGGAAACACCACGTTTATAGTTTTTCTATCACTCTTTATCCATAAGTTTCCTTGGTCGACGTATTTATTGATAACGCAATCCGTGGTACTAGTAAATGCCAATGTAGTGTTGCTGTTGCTAACACTTGCACTGAACCTTTACTACAATGAAAGCTCTCTCGGCACCTCCAACTAGGCCTATATATGATTTGGACCCTACACAAGATCCATATCCAACTGTGCCCCCTCTCTACGGCATAATACTATTCAATCGTCGTTCCTCATTTATTGCGCCTAACAAATAACAGTGAATCTTTCAAAATTTAGTAACCCAAGCACGCACTGAGATTACTTTAAATATTTGAATGTTTATGCATTTTAATCACGTTTTTAGTTTTGCTATTTAGAAAAGAAAACGCAATAGGGACTGGTGGGATTGGAGAAAACGGAGGGGTAAAAATAGAAAAGGCAAAACAGCGGACCAAGTTGAACGGGTGACGTGGCATAGGTGACGTCATCTATCGGAATCGTGAGAAAACCCAACCCTCCCTTGGTACGGAGAATATAACCACGTAGCCCCACTTTGGCGAATCATGAATGGACACGTCACATGGGAATCAAAACGAGCCGTTTCATTCACGGTGTTCACACTCCACAGCAGTAGTAGCAGCCTTGTTAAAAGTTGAAAACCCAAAATGGATTCAAAGTGCCCCTGTCCTACCTCCCTTTTCTCTCTCTCTCTCTCTCTCTCTCCCTGGTTGTTGGAGTTCCTGTCCTGTTGTTGTGTTGTGCTTTGTTGTGTGTCCTTAATTTCTTCAACCTTCTCCACATTTAATATTACACAAGTACTAATCACTCGGTCTTGTGCATTTCTATTTCTCACTCTCTTCATATGGATGATGAATATGCTAAGCTTATTAGGAGGATGAACCCACCCAGGTCAGTTTCCTTCTTTGCCTTCCCTCTAATTTCTCACTTATTCTTCTTCTTTCATCCAACTTCCCATGCTTTAAATCACATGGGGTTTATTGCCACCAATTGTTCCAAATTTTTGCATCACAAAGTTTTTTGTTTTTTGGTATTTTGATTTTTGGAGGTTGTAATCAAGTGGGGCGTCAAATTGAACCTCTTTTTTGCAGTTCGGAGTTTTCAATTTTCCCACTGATAGGGCAGTTCCTTGCTTGATTCTTCTTTTCTTTAGTTAAGTAAGCCATATACATACATACATATATACAAACACACATGTACACTTACATAAAGATATAGATATGTCCCAAAAGTTTTTTTTTTGTCTAAGAAAAAAATATACGTTTTGGTAAATTTGTTTTTCGGGGACGTTCGAATTTCCTCTGTCATGTTTGTCTTACGTTTTTGGCTTATAAGATGTGTTTTGGTGGGATATTTACCTGCAATTGGATCTGATAATCATTATTTCTATGTACGAATTCTTGTGTCTATAAGCTTGCGAGCATAAGAGTGGTGTTGTTTTGTCTAATTAACTAGCTTCTTGCCACGCAGGGTTGTGATAGACAACAATGCCTGTGAACACGCCACGGTTATTCAGGTAAAGCCGGTGTTTTCTTCTGTTTAGGTTTCACAAAATTTGAGTTGACAACAAGAAAGATTCTTTTTTTTTTCCTTCAATTTTCTAATGATGGGATGTTATAGAATCTTTGTGTGCATTTTTCCTTTTCTATTGATGTAAAAGACAAACTTGTTTCCAAGTTAATTTCCTTTTTTTTTTCTTAAGAAAAAAAATTCAACCATCTACCTTTTTTCTCTTTTGCAGGTTGACAGTGTCAACAAACATGGGATTCTCCTGGATGTTGTACAAGTTATTTCAGATATGAACCTTGTAATAACAAAGGCCTACATCTCCTCCGATGGAGTGTGGTTCATGGATGGTAACTTCTCTTCTTCACTAGTGGCAGGCTATTGTGGGGGAAAGGACTATAAGCATTTTTATCATAGTTATTTTCATAATAATCTTTGCTTCTGATCCTGGTATTAATTTGATTTTTTTTCAGTATTTAATGTGATTGATCATAATGGAAACAAAATCAGAGACAAGGAAGTCATTGATTATATTCAAAGGGTAAGAGTTTGTTTGCTTGCATTTCCTAAACTTCTTTAATTGAAGCTTACTTTTATTTCTCTGTGTCTGTAGAATAGAAGGGTCCCCCCCCTCCTCTTTTTTTTTTTTTTTCTTTTTTTCTCGCTGGAAATCCTCAGGTTAAGTAAGCAGGACACGTTTGTTAGAATACACTGATTTTAATTTGGTTCTTTTAACAACACGATGATGATACAGAATTCAAAATCATTTTACCCTCATCTTCTGCTTGCTGATTGCACTAGCTAGATATGAGCTGGTTTGCCAAGGCTAAATGGAGGAAGAATAGCTCATTCATAATTGATGTTGAATTATTTCACTAACTACTTATTTTAGTTATCAAAATTCTGCTGGTTCCTGTGTGCTTCCAGCAAAGGTTGTATGAATCTGCTGGGTCAGTCTGGTGGATAAACATAAACTGTTTCAGGTGTCTGTGCTGAAAGATGTTAGACTTGTTTTATCACCGTCATGCTGTTTTATTTAGTAGTATAGTGAACATAGGATGATGTAAAGCAACACAAAATCCTTTCAGAAATTTTAAGTTCTGGAAAATTGTGAAGACTTGATCTTAGTAAATACCTTAGTGCACATATAAGTTATTCATTCTGGTGCGATTAATCCTGATGGTTTGTCTTCCAAAACTGTCATACTCCTGAAGTTTTGTTCATTTTCATACTGCATCATGATGCCTAAGCTACATCCATTAAGATATGAATGTCATCTTTGTTTGAGTGATCTGTGAATCTTATTATGCTAAACTTGTGAGAATAATTTGTAGTCCCTGTATGATAGACTGTCGAAAAAGCTTGTGGTATCTGATTCTTCTATCATTCAAATGTTGTAGAGACTTGAAAACAATCCCAGCTTTGTGCCATCATTGAGAGAGTCTGTTGGGGTTGTACCTACTGAAGAGCACACTGTTATTGAACTTACGGGCACTGACAGGCCTGGGTTACTATCTGAAATCTGTGCAGTTCTCGCAGACCTTCACTGTAATGTGGTGACTGCTGAGATATGGACACATAATACTAGGGCTGCGGCTGTAGTCCATGTGACAGATGATTCCAGTGGGTGTGCCATCAAGGATCCATCGCGCCTTTCTTCAATAAGGGATTTGCTTTGTAATGTCCTTAGGGGCAGTGATGATCCAAAGACAGCAAGAACAACACTTTCACCCCCTGGAGTAACAAATAGGGACAGAAGATTACATCAGATTATGTTTGCTGACAGGGACTATGAAAGGGTTGAAAAAGCAGGAAAAGGGGGACTCAGAGATAGCGATGAACGCCCATTTCCTCATGTAACCGTCTTAGATTGTGTTGAGAAAGATTACACTGTGGTTACCATGAGAGCAAAAGATCGATCAAAATTGTTGTTCGATATTGTCTGCACTTTAACTGACATGCAGTATGTAGTTTTTCATGGGGTTGTCCAGACAATAAGGACAGAAGCTTATCAGGTTAGCCAACCTTTTGCTTTTTGATGAAACTCTAAGAAATGATAGTTCACCTTTATTAGTGCTGGGTATGTTGTACTTGTAATTGCAGCTACACTCAAATATAAATATTTTTGACTAGTAAATACTTTTCCAGTTGAATTATATGGATCGTATATGATTACAAAAGCTGATTGATACATCAAATCTATACTTTGAGTTTCATTTGGTCAGCATGGATTTGTCTTACCATGTGTTGACAATTTCCTGCATAGATTTTTCTCATTAAGAATTTCTTTATCTAGGAGTTTTATATTCGACATGTCGATGGCTTTCCCATAAGTTCAGAGGCTGAGCGAGAACGACTTGTGCAGTGTCTTGAAGCAGCAATTGAAAGGCGGGCATCTGAGGTATAATAACAACCCACAGATGGAAGCTCCACTCGTTAACTACTTTTCTTCAATGGTGTGCTAAGATGTGTTTGCATGCAGGGAATGGAGCTGGAGTTGCGCACAGATGATCGTGTAGGACTCCTCTCAGATATCACAAGAATATTTCGAGAGAACAGTTTATGCATCAAAAGAGCAGAAATATCAACAGAAGATGGAAAGGCTAAAGATACTTTTTATGTCACAGATGTGACTGGTAACCCAGTTGACCCTAAGATTATAGATTCAATTCGCAGACAGATTGGTGACAAGGTACTGCAAGTAAAACATAACTCTAATCTGTCACCAAAGGCCCCTCAATCAACAACAATTGGATTTCTCTTAGGAAATTTTTTCAAAGCTCGATCTTTTCAGAATTTTAAGTTGATCAGATCTTATTCTTAAGGCCTCTTTTGTATATTCTCAGCATTTTCATCTTGTTTCAAGGCAAACAGCAATGTATGTGAAAGAAATTGTATATATCATCTTCCCCTCTCAGCACAGGGGCTTGGAATTCACAGTGTAAGTAGAAAGCTTAAACACCTATGTATATAGTTTAGTGTAAATAGTTGTGCTCAGTAGCATGCTCCCTAGGTTGTACATGGAGTACGAAGTCTTTTTAGATGATGAAGTCCAAAAACGTAGTAAGTAGTACTTTTAGGTTTGGGTATGTATATGAAATTGAATGCAAAAGATGTAATTGTATGTATAATTGTCCATCACCGTTCCTTTTTCTCTCTTTTCAGACTTACCCTGTCCCTGCACTAAGCAATGGTGTAAATTTGCTGCATTCATATCGAAAGCAAGGTTAATGAAATAAAGAAATAATCTTTCTGTTAACATCATGCAATTGAAGGAAATAATTTCCCTGAAAATCATAGAATGTGTATTTGAAGATGAAATTGGTGATGTGTTGAAACCAATTGTTTCCCATAGCCTCTCTTCTCTAACTCCTGTTGGTACGCATGTTTCTTTTTGGACGAGTATGACAATTATTACCACCATCTCTGCATATACTACATTAATTTGTATTTTGTTCTCTTTCAAATGCTAAAAGATCATGCTTAGTAGAAGTTATGGTTCCTTTTCCTTCCTTGAGCCTAATGAGAAACCTTTGTGTGATTGAACATGAAGCTCAAGAATCAAAGGATTTGGAGCAAATACTAGTTGAGTAAGCTACTTTTGCACATTTTCTTTTTGGCTATGAAGCAATCTTTTATACTTGGGCTCCAATTTGCCAATGAGTTTGTCCCATTACTCTTCTTGATCAGCCAGTCAATCTTAGGAAATGATCTATTATCAAGACGTATATCACCAAGTTCCAATGATTTTTGTCTCATCTTGTGTGCACATGGAAGACCTATTGTATGAACTTTACATATTATTGAAAGACTCCGAAAATGCTAATTCATATTGTTTGAAGGCTCCTCCTTCGCAATTAATCAAAGCTCTGAACTTTTCAAGCGAAGTTAATATTTGTCGTGGAGATCAGGTACACCGAACATGGTCATTTCTTTTATCTATCCAATTTCTTCTAGTGAAAAGCGATGTGCATAAGGATGTTTTGAAATGTCACTTGATATTTCATGATTGTGATACTTTTTTTTATCTCGACTCTCCAAGTACTTTCTTTTTTCCTCATCCCACAAATCTTAAATGGACGATTTGTGAGACAATACAATATTTTTCTCTTCCTTTGTGCTAAGGGAACATTAAACCTATCCCTCGAAGTGACCCCCTACTACATCCAATAGGGACATACCTATCTTTCTTAGATTTCTTCATTGTTGTTATGCATCCTATTGAAAAAGCAACGCCATGAACAGTCTCAAGTTCTTCTCGGTTATGATCAGCTTTATTTACAAGTTGGTCACAAGACTTTCTGAATAATCGATAACTATATGGAATATATTAAGATTGTTAAATTAATAAAATTAGCATGCCAAGTAAAAAAAAATGCACAGAAGCATAACAATAAAAACTCCTTAGATTTTTAGTTTCAAAGGAAAAAGGGCAAAAACTTTGTTTGATTATATAACTCCTGTTTGAAAGTTTTTATTCATAGTTAGAGTTTTTATAGACCTTTCAAAAATCTATAAATTCATGAATTTAAGTTAATCCAAATTGGAATATATATATTTTTTAATCCTCCTTTCTTTTCTTTTTTTTATCTTTTCTTCTCTTTTATCCCTCAAATCCTTAATGTATAAATGAGTTCATCTCAACTTTAAAATAATCTTTAATGTGATGTTGCTCACTCTAATTTTTCATTCTTCTTAAACAATACAATAATTTTGATTTTAAAGTTTAATAAAAAGTAATTTAAAGAGTCGTAACTAAAACAATTTTTAATTAAGATATTTTAAACAATAAATATAAAAACAGTTTACAGGAAAAACTGATAATAGATAAAAAGACGCGTAACTACACAATGTTAGTTGAATTAGTTTTTGAGATTTTCAAATGAATTTATTAATTCTTAATTTTATCAAACATAGATTGTCCAACTAACATTTTAATATTTGTTGTTAAGTAGCAACTAAGATCACAAAAAACTTATTTCACACAATTTCAAGACTAATTTGACTGATTTTCATCAATACTGTTATGCTATTTTTGATATTTTATTCCTCTTTTTTTTCACCCACAATGTTTCTATCACTTGACCTTTCTCACCCTTCCCTCTACTATTTCACCCTTCTCAAAAAACCCTTTTATCCTTCCTCTCCTGATTATTTCTCCTATCTTGAAATACACTAAATGCAAGTTGTAGGAGAGTAATGGTAACGAAAAGTTATAGATAAGGAACGTGCAGATTTAGAAAAGGAGAGAAAGAAAAATAGTGTATGGTTGGTGATATCTTATATTTACTTAGCTTCACCTATAGGACGCAACAACTGTATAAACATGGATCATCATTAAAATTTAGTGGGACAGAGGGAGTTCTTCTTTAGGGACAAAAATAATGGTCGTTTTAGTAACAATAGAAGTAGTAGATTCAATAAATGGTCTATTATAACGACAATAATGGAAATTGGTCAGATTCATTTATAAAATTATATAACATATTTTGGTATTGTATCATTTGATGACAAAAGTTAACATTATTATGAAAAGGTTAATTAAACTAAAATGTATGAATTGGACAAAGTAAAAAATTAACAAGCTTATTTAAAAATTTCTCGGATTAGATTACACAATCGGAAGGGCATCTTTTTTATGTTAAACAATAAAAAGACGTGGTTTTATTCTTTTAAAAAAAATGGAAACTCGTGAAAATCCTTAACTTTTGTTCCTAATTCATGTCCCAAGCTCCCATAGAGCGAGTTCCCTGTGTGCACCCATTCTTTCGTTTGCGCCTGCGTTTGGACGTCTGCATCCCTTCCGGGTTGCTGCATTCGCGTTTGCGTTGCTGTAATCGGTTGTGTTGTTGTTACTGCTCATTAGACTGAGTTCGTCTCCATTTTCGCTTGTAATAATATTGTTGTATTCTATTATGTTGTTGCTGCACCTTCTGTTGTCACTGTTCCAATTCCATGTTTACTATGCTGCTTACTGATTTTTAAGGTTAATTTCATGGCATTAAAATCAGTTTTTTTGACTTGTTACCAGTCTTTTATCAATTGCTAAATACATGCCTTTGATTTATGTATTTACTAACTTAGAGAAGCATTGAAATTGGTAGGTTTAGTATACACCGGTTCAACTAGTAACTCCCTGGTTCCTCCTCCGCTTTGTGTCTTGCTACTTGTATATTCTGAATCACCAATTTAGAACTTATATTATCGTTTGCCATGCCATGCCTTTACACGTATGAATTAAATTGGGAAAATCATGTGGGTGATATATTGATGATGATAGTTATGTAGTTTGAAGCAAAAAGCCAATCTTTAAGTATGAATTGGGGACAATGACACAATAGTGTTGTCAGTTATTATATATTATTCATAGAATAGAATAAGCTACTTGTAGTAATGAGTAGGGAATTTTTAGTCGTACAATTAAATATTGAGGACAATGTGTTGCTCTTGGTAGGTATAATGAGCTTGTACTCTGAGTTGAAGCTTGTGCATGTAGGAGTAACGGGGAATGAGAGATTATACAAGGAAACAGAAGAAGGGGAAACAAAGTGTGATTGTGATGAAAGGTGCAGCAATTGATTTGGCTATAGGACTAAGCAGGGCAGTGATCTCGGCCTCAAAGAAGAACGGAAGGCGTTGTTCATGGGGTCCTCATGTGGAGGAGACGCTCCACAGGTTGGGTTGGCGTCAACACTTGACCCCATCATTGGTGGCCAATGTCATAGACCCTTTCCTCCTCACACAGCACTCCCTTGCTTTGGGCTTCTTCAATTGGGCCTCTCAGCAACCTGGTTTCACACACTCCCCTTTCACCTTCCACTCCATCCTAAAATCTCTATCTCGCACCCACCACTTCACTGTCATTCATTCCCTCCTCAAACAGGCCAAAGCTCTCAACTTTTCCATTCACCATTCCCTTTTAAGCTCCATTATAGCATCCCACATTGCTTGTAACCATGCTTGTGAAGCCTTTTCCCTCTTCAACAGTGTTGGTCCTCATTGCGCTCAAATTGGGGGGCCCACGTGTAACTCGCTCTTGGCTGCCCTTGCTTCTGATGGGTACTTGGATAGTGCTGGCAAGGTGTTTGATGAAATGAATGAGAGGGGTGTTCCTTTCAGTACGCTGGGTTTTGGGGTGTTTGTTTGGAGGGTTTGTAGAGAGGGTGATTTGGAGAAAGTGTTGAGTTTGTTAGGTGAGGTTAGGGAATGTGGTTCTGGGATTAATGGTTCTGTTGTGGCAGTTTTGGTTGTCCATGGGTTGTGTCATGCATCTAAGGTATCAGAGGCTTTGTTGATGTTGGATGAATTAAGGAGTAGGGGCTGGAAACCTGATTTCATGGCTTACTGGGTTGTTGCAGCAGCATTCCGGTCAATGGGAAATGTGGCTGATGAGGTCAAGGTTTTGAAGAAGAAGAGGAAGTTAGGGGTGGCTCCCAGAAGCAGTGATTACAGGGATTTGATACTTGGCTTGGTCTCAGAGAGACGGATTTCTGAGGCAAAAGAACTTGGGGAGGTAATAGTTGGTGGTAAGTTTCCTGTTGAAGATGATGTTCTTAATGCGTTGATAGGATCGGTGTCAAGTGTTGATCCTGGTGCAGCAATTGTGTTTTTCAATTTCTTGGTTGAGAAAGAGAGGTACCCAACTATTTTGACTCTGAGCAATTTGAGTAGGAACCTGTGTAGGTATGGCAAGACTGATGAATTATGGGAGGTGTTTCAATTTTTGAATTCTCAAAACTACTTCAAGGATGTGGAGGGTTACAATGTGATGGTGTCGTACTTGTGCAAAGCTGGGAGAGTGAAAGAAGGCTATGCTGTTCTCCAGGAGATGAAGAAGAAAGGGTTCAGCCCTAATGTCTCATCATATAATTATGTAATGGAAGCGTGTTGTAAGGAAGATCTATTGCGTCCTGCAAGGAAGCTTTGGGATGAAATGTTTTCAAGTGGCTGTTGTGGGAACTTGAAAACATACAACATTCTCATACAAAAATTTTCTGAAGTGGGACAAGCTGACGAGGCTCAAATGCTCTTTTACCGCATGCTAGACAAGGGGGTGATACCTGATGTTACAAGTTACACTTTTCTCCTTGAAGGGCTCTGCCAAGAAGACAGGCTTGAAGTAGCTTTTGAGCTCTTTAACAAGTCTGTCAAACAGGACATTGTCCTTGCAAGAGACATATTGAGCTCGTTCATATCATCACTCTGTAGGAAAGGTACTATTCACTTAATCAAATATTAACTAGTTGCAAATGCCTGTTGCTGTCTCGTGTAATTTTTTAACATGATTGTGTTGTATGTTTCCCATGCAGGTCACTTTACGGCTGCATCCAAATTACTTTGCAATCTCAATCATATAGCACATGCAGAATCCCATGTAATTTTGTTGAAATGTTTGGCAGATGCGCAAGAGCTTCCAATTGCCATTGAACACTTGAAGTGGGTTCAGGAAAAGTCACCTTCTATACTACAAGATACATGTACTGGACTTTTGGCTTCACTTTCTTCTGCTAAATGCCCAGAGCCAATATTACAGTTTCTTCAAAGAATACAATGTGTTTGATTTCCCATACTTCGAAGGATATGTGCCACCAATTATTACAATCTGAGAAAGCTATTGGATTTGGCTGCCATTGGATCAGTTTACGTGCAACTTAGTTGACTAAACCTGTAGTGTAAGTGCATTTTAAAAAGATTGTTTTAAGAGAATGTCAACTTAATAAATTTAAATATTACTAGAGATTACAACTGCTACAACCAGTCAAATATGACACCTAACATATCAGCAGTATTAGGAATATAAAGAAAAGCAGGAACATATTGAAAAATCTCCAATCACTCAGCAATGGCTATGGAGCATGATCCAGGGGAACATCGTCAGTGCTCCTAATGAGTTAGGCTCCATCCATGGACCACCAACTTATACCAGCAGTTTATTTTTTTATCCAATGGAGCAGTCGAAATTTATGATGGATGTGCGGGGAAACCAAGTGACTTTCATAGGCAAACAAATATCCCATGCCTCTAGAGCACTCAAACTCGTGTCATCTTCACCACAGCGATCCACCTGGAAACTTGGTGAATCAACTCACTGCCTTTCGCCCATTGACCCTGGAAACAAGGTATTTCTATTTAACGGATTTCATCTCCATCCTCAAAAAGTTTCTTTCATCTTTTTTTAGTGACTGTTGCTTTTAATTTTTGTGGGTGTTCCTTTGTCTTCATTGATCTGTTTCTATTTTTAGAATTTGATATCTGTTGAGAATTGGTTCTATGTTCACATGATTATTTTCTCTTGGGATTCTAAAATCCCTTGTTCATTCAACTTTTTAGAGTTTTCCACACATCAGAAAGAAGGTGGTAGGGGCTGAATCTGATCATTAGAGAGATATCCTGATAGAATATCTGTAAGATTGTACTCAGTATAGATACACTGTATCCATGTTTTTTCTTTCTTAAAGCACTCATATACTATGCATAAAATGCTGGTGCTAGTGGTGATTAAGATTAGCTCTTCTTTGTTTTGGCGTAGGAAAATAAATTTTTGCACTTTCTAATGTAAAACACATTCCAATGTAAATCTATGTCTGAGATTAATTTAGACACATTTCAATCGGGGTCAATGGTTTCAAATTAATTCTATCACTGACAATTTTACCAACTTTAAAATAAACAAACCCTTAATTTGTGCTATTATTGAATCTATGAAGCATGGTTGTAAACTTTTTGTAGCCACATCATAACTTCATTTGTTCAAGTGTGGAAACAGAATATCAAGCCATAACCTTAACTATATGTGAACTTATCTAATTGAAACAATTGCTCAAAGTATTGAGATTTAACAAGATTATAAAAATGATACTCATATGTGATAATCAGACAACCTTTCATATTGTCTCAAATTCAGTGGTCTATTAAAAAACAAAGTATATTGAGATAGATTGTCATAAGAGAAAATCTATCTGGAGATATCACTACTAGCTTTGTCAATTCAAATGATTAGTTGATAGATATTTTTACCAAATCATTGAAAGGTCCTTGTATTAGTTATATGTATGATAAGCTTGGTGCATATAACCTCAATGCTTCAGCCGAGGGAGACAGGAAAGTATATATAATTATAGTAATGGAAAAGTATATCTTCCTAATTATGTTAATTAGGTAATTTAATATTCTATAAATGTTCTAGAATTATTACTGTTATCAATATAAATATAAATATATATTTTGTTGTATAGTTATAAAGTAAACACACGGATTCATCTACATGTTCTCTCACTTTTTTCTCTTTCAACAAATCCAAACATACTCAATGTTCTATTCTTTTTATCAGTCCATGCACCGAACATACAGTCAAAGTTCACCCGTTCTTCCTCCCAAGACTTCCATCATTTCTTTTGTTAACTCAACTTTCTTTTAAGTAATGGAATTCTTATCTCAAATAGTTTTTTGGTGTCTTTAGGTGTGGACCATAGTTTCCAATTGCCTCAATCATCAACTTGAAGCTTTAGACCGCATAACATTGGAAGAGATTGAATTTCCATAAAAACACATAACAATGTATTGAATTGTTGTAGTTCTTGCTTCATCACAAGCATTATTAATGCTTGTTTTCCTTTTAGCCCTTCCCAATTTAATCGATGACTCTGGATTCTTAAGGATAAACAAATCCAAAAGACCTTTGATATTTTTTCCCTTTATGGCAGCAGAAGGAAAAGCAGCAGCTACAGCACCATCACTATCTTGAACTGTAGGTCGTTTTGTAGCTCTAATGAGCTGTTTTTCTTCAATCTCTTCTTCATCTTTCTTCAACTCAGCATCAATTTTGGCCTTTTTTTTGCTGGAATGCTTCAATGAGTTGCTTCTTAATTTCCAATGAATTTTCTTACAAGGACCTACATCTCGCCTTATTCCCATTTGGTGCTTTTTGCTCTAGTAACACCTCTAGTAGTTGTTTTTTTCACAAAAATCACAAGTTACCCTCTTTTTTACATTAATATCTTTCAAACTATTCCATTGCCTTTCAATATCAAGATTTTCGCCAACGAGCTTTACCAAGGCACAAGTGGAGGTAGACGAACCATCACCTTTTGAGGTTGCTAGGATAATACCATGGCTGGAGAATGATGGAAAAGAGAAGATGACAAAGGTAAGAAGATGTAGAGAGAGTAAGAAACAGAGCACTGTTGAAGAAGAAAAATTGGAAATAGACACCCCCAGAGTGGGAAACAAAGCACTGCTGAAGAAGAAAAACAGAAAATAGACGCCGGAAAAGAGTCTCCTCCACTCATAGTTGCTGGAAAATGGCCAGAAAGAATGTCGTCTTCAACAAAAATGGTGAAGAAGAAGAAGCAGTCTTCGGAGAAGAAAAAACAGAGCAGGAGAAACTTGCTCGAGAAGGGGTAGGTAGGTACCGTGTAGAAGCTTGCGCAAGAATGGAAAAATTCAAAGTTGAAGTGTGATTCAAAAGTCTATTTTGCCCTTAAAAAAGGCCCAAGACGACACTGTAGTAGGGACAGAATCGGACTTTCATTCCCTTCTCCATCACACTGTGATATCCCGCAGCAAAACGGCAATTTCGTCTGCGATTCCAAAAATGCTCTGCTACGACCACTCTATCATGTTTGACTGCCACCCCACGGCAGCATGATAGTGCCTCTATCGCATGCGATTGACAACAACGTTATGTAGATACTGCCCAAGAAGCTATAAGAAACATAAACGAGTTTTTGATACATTATTTCTCACTTAACCTTACTATAAACAAATTATATTCTTTTATACGTTATTTCTCACTTAAGCTTAGTAGAGACTAATTTTGTTTCCATGAATTATGAGAAATTTGGACACTATCCAACTTTCAAAAGAAATGTCACACACAAAATAGAAAAAAAAATAAAAAAATACACATTTGAGATAATTAACTGCCAAGTGTCATTCCATTCATGACAAAGAGCAGAAGAACGAGCAGAATGAAGCATATTCACAAAACATCCTCATTATTTTATTTTATATTGCAAATTGTGACATAAATTATATAAAAAAAAGTAATTAAAGTAAATATTTTTATTTTTATGGTTGAAAGAGTTGGAGAAAGGTCGAACTTTGATTTTCTATTATTAATTTTTATGAAAACTTGAAAGTATTTAAAATTTTTAAAGAAAATATTTTATAAAATTTAAATTTATAAAAAGAATAAAAACTAAAACTTTTTTTTCTTTTTTCTTTTAAGAATTTACTCAGTCTATAATACATATATGTAAACTTGAAACATAAACAATACTATCTGACAGAGTAAATTTCTATTTAAAATATTATAAACTACAGCTAAAATAACTAACTATCAACATTAAAAATATATTTTGAATTACCTTTTATAATAAAATACCAAAGTATTATAATCATTCAAAATTGATATAAAAATTACATAACTCTGTCAATTTAAACTAGAAGTTTATTAAAATATTATAATTTTAAATAATTTAAATTCTACACAGTAGTCTTTTCTTCCAATGTAACAAGGCTATGATCTTAGAATGAATCAATCTTCCTTTTATTCTCTTCAATTTTGTCTCTTGAAAATAATTAGTAAGGGTGAGTATTTTTTGTCTCACTAAATTTCTTATTTGATAGAATAATTTAAATGAAATTAAAAATATTATCTAACACACACACATATAATAATAATAATAATACATAGATCATACCAATGATTATTGTAGCAAAGCACATATACGAAGTAAATCACATTTCTAAAATTTATAACATACATTTTTACACTAATCTGTATGTCATAATACATGTATTATATCACATCAATCAATATGTCACAATACATGTGTCTTAATCACAATTGTCGATGTATTACAACACATATATCATAATAACATCAATTGATATGTTACAATGCATATATTATAATCACAATTTCTATACTACTTCACATTTGTCACACTTTCATAATTATTGCCCCTGGAATCCCTTAAAGTCTTCATAGTATAGATAGTTATTGGTTAGTCGCTGCACACGGATACATTGTGTGTCAACGCAACCACTTTTAGCAAAAGTGTGGTTAGGGGTTTAGGTTAGAAAATGAGTGAAGCTTATGGTGTTTTTTCCCTCTAGTTTCATTAATTATGCGCATTCAAAGAAAAGCATCCACCACCCACATTTTTTCCAGATTTTCAAAATCGTCCCGTCTTTCACGTCCCTAGTGTATCTTTGTAACTATCTATACTTATTTTCAACATTTCTCATTTCATTTTTACATACTATTCATAGATCAGCGTGTCATAATATGTGAGTTATGATTATATAAATCAATGTACTATAATACATATATTATAAGTACTCATTTAGATGTATTACAATACATGTATCATAATCACACCTATCAATTGGTTATGACTCACATATTATAATTATGCATTTGAAAATTCTATGGTGATGTTATATTATTCACTTTTGTACATAATACTTTTTCTCCATCCAAGGACATTCAAACATTTTTCATCAATAATATGAATCTACGAATTACAACATACCTTAGCTATCATACAACATTCATATTTATTATATCATCTAATACAGAAAGATCATCAATCAATTTCACACCATTTAGATCAATACAATGTGTCGAAAGTCAGCCTTTGGACTCAGACCAATTATATAATTCAATACACACACTTTCTCAATATTAATAAACTCACCTATCCTAAAGTTCAGTATCTTCTAATACATATATCATGTAAAATAATAATTCAATACCCAAATAATAGTAAAATCTTAAAAATTTCTTAGAAACTTAGTTACTTATACTTTTTACTATTAAATTTTATCGAGATAATCTTTGAAATAATATCGGTTTCTCATACTCAAAATTTCATTTTTAACACTAAAATCTTAAGAATTATTAGGGTTCTATTACACAAAATAAAAATAAAAGAGTTAGGGTTTAAAATAGGGTTTTCTCACCCAAAAATTTGTTTTCTACACCATGATTTTAAGGAAAAATCTTGTAGTTTTGTTATTTAGAATCAAGTAGTTGATTTTTCTAAGTTAAATTAGATAAACAAGATTTAGGGTTCGAGATCAACTCCCCTTCCTTGAAAATTGGTTTCTTAGACGGATTTTTTTAGAGATTCAAGAGAGAGGTACAATGTTCCTGATGGAGGATATCGTCTTACAGATCAAGATTTTCTTGAGTATTACAAAGCGTAACACTTTAAATTAAGGAAAAACTGAGAAATAAGAATGAATTTAAAGATCTGGGCTCCAAGAAACTTACTTGGATCAAAATAGAATTGATGTTCGAGTTCGGATCTAGAAGAGATTCGAGGTTTAGGAGAATTTTCTCTAAGAGGGGAAGGTGAGAGAATAGAGAAAAACTGAGAGGGAAGGCTATTTGGTGAGAAATGAATATTTTTAGGATTGAGGTTTCTTAAATACCCCTCCAAACTCTTGCATTCTCGCTTGAGTGAAAATAGGTAGAGAACTCCCTATTTTCTTGCGACTCCTCGCCTGAGTGAGTTCTATCTCGTTTGGGCGAGTTGTTCCTTGTTTGAGTGAGATCTCTTCTCGCCTGGACGAGAGGATGGTTGAGACAACTTTATCCTTTCTTACTTGAACGAGATTCATCTCGCCTGGGCAAGAATACTCCAAAACACCTTCTTTTAGAAAACTTTGTCTCGCTTGAGCGAGAAACCCAATACCAAAATTATTATTTTTTCATATAAAAGTAATAAAATTGAGGGTGTTACAGTATTAAATTGACTTGCATAAACCATTATCATGGTCAAGTATTTTAGATGTTTGTTGATTATGTACATATGTTGATACATATGGTAAACCATGATATTAACTTAGGTATTTTGTTGCCACTAAAACATGTCTTTTGGTTACTCTTTCAATTATTTTGTAACTCATTAATATGAGTTTTGAAACTAGTCTCTTATAAATAAATTGCATTTATGTATTTTTTTTTTTTTTACTAATTATTCTACTTACTATCATTAGAAATTATTATTTATAAATTCTTGTATATTAAATATTTTATTTGTCATGCATCATTTTAGTTAAACCTAATTGTCACACTTATTTCTTTTAAACATGGATTAAAAATTCATTTTCTATTTATTTGTTTTACAAAGTAGATGAACTCATAGACCACTTATTTTTATACTTTAAAACATGATTTTTAGGATATGTTTAGGAGAGAGATTTTAAAAGGGAATAGAGAAGAGGACATATTTTTTAATTTTAAATTAAGAGAATTATATATCATTGATAAATGCATGATTAATATATTTATTTTATGTTAATATATTAATTTATATCTTTTCATTTTGAAACATATTAATTTTAAAAATATTTATTTAAAACAAAAATTTTGTCCTTCCCTTCTATTCAAAATCCTCTTCTCAAATAATATTTTTGCAAATTTTTAACTCTTTAAAAAGTTTTCAATTAATATGAAAATATACTCTTTAATTATAATAAAAGAGAGCATTTTAGACCCTCCCATTATCGTTACTTATAATCACAAACACTTATTATTAATGTTTCTTAAATGTTAAAAAATGCGATTGATGAGGATATTTGAATTGAAAAATAATTAAGAAAAGTTAAAAAGAAAACAAAAAGTAGAGAAATCACAAATTTAATTTAAATGGATGAAAGTTTGATGCTTTGGTTTTCTTTTTTACTACCTATATGTTTTTCAATTCAATTTTATTCAATTTTGTTAAAACAATTACCAATAATCTAATCAATTGTCACCACTATCCAATGATTATGTAATAATGACTATCTTCTTCTTGATATGTTACTCTAATAATTATAGAAAGTAAAAGATAAATAAGAGCATTAATAAATATCATATTTGTTAAGCTCGGTTGTTTGATTGGAAGTTCAGATAAATTATTAGTTGACTTAACTCTTAAACTCAAGCTACCTTTTAGTTTTGTTAACCTATTAATAGTATTATCATTTATTAATTGATTAATTATAATTTACTCTTTAGTGGTCAATTTAAGAATAATAATAACATAAAAAATAATTATAATTAACAAATAACATCAACATCATAAAATCAAATTGAGATTTATAAAGAGTTACATAACAATAATCCACCTTAGTCCCATGGCAAAAGGTATTTAGTTACACAGTGTAATAAAAATGAAAATGAAGGTTAACTAAACACAAAACATCTATATTAAAAATAATAAGAAAAAAAAGCTCTCTTAACTAATATGCTAAAAAAAGAAGATAGAGAAAGGGATTGGTCCAGTGTAAGGCTCTCTATCTATAGTAATTCAAAAAGATAATGATTTGATTTCTAAAATGATATAACTTATCTATAGAAAAAGATACAATATTTTATTGTTAAATTTAAATTTTAGATTCAAATTTATATTTTAAATTTAAAATTCATATTAAGAATCTACTGTTTTTTCTCATTCAACAACTTTTCTTCATGATCTCATCATTTTTAACGAAGTTATATTGCTACCACTTCTTACAATAAAATTAAAAAAATTAATTAATTTAAAAGGTAAAATTACAATTCTAATAAAAAAATAAACTAAAATATGGTAGATAAAGTAAAAGAATGAAAGTTTATCAAACCTCTTAGTATATAGTCTAACATGGTTATTTTGCTTATGAAAACTTTTCTTATAAACATATTCTAGAAGAAAATAAGATTATTATAAATACACTTTATTTATTCCAAATTATACTCTAATAGGTCAATTTCTTGAATTTATAATCAGGTACTATCAACCTAAGTTCTTTAATTAGGGTGATTTTGTATAGTATTTGTATTTTTACGTTGAATAGTAATTAATAAATTTATAATGTATTTGAGAATTTTG